CAGGTTGGGTAAAAGCCTCCAAAAATCCCCATTTCTCTCGGTCTTAGACTTTGTCGTCGGGATGTACAGTAGCGCTTTCTTTACATAGCCACTTTGGACAATTAGCTCCTTTGCATGCACCGCACTCCCTCACGCCCATTATGTCTCTGCTACAATCCTCACTCACCACACTGCCTACTGCCTTGTTGCAGAAACATGACCCTCTGCAATCACAGTGCATAGGGGCTACTTAGTCATGTTCATTGGTGCGTGCATGGATGCATGGATGAATGAATGCACATGAAGATATCTGCCACAAGGAGGATCTATCTCCTTTTATTGCGGAGGAAGCTAAAGCAGCAGCAATAGAAGGAGCAATGGCAGAAATATAGCCAGAATGATCAGTCTAGTTCATTTGCTTTATCTGGTTGAAGATCTTAATTGCGGTACAAACATAAAACGACCTGATATGCTGATTTATTATTTGTTTTAAATAGTCGTTTGTTACTTGTGTAAGACGTGACAGTAGAATGAGGCGAGTGTAATTGGTTTTGTGTTTTTTGTGCATTGCTGATTTGTTGCTATGACTCGACTCCATTTTCGGTGCAAATCTCCTAACTTCAGTTATATTCATCGGGCATTGAGGACTAAAATAAATCACGACAAGAAGATGGCCTACGCAATTCAGCATGGTCCACCTCTAAGAAGAAGAATTGGAACAATTTGAATAAGATGGGCATTTAATGATAGGAGCTACAATGCAATGCATGTAACATGCTTGACAATATAATATTATGTTGTTTATCTTTAGTTACCAACACTGTGTAACCTTGTACCAAGCAACGGATTACAGTGCTGCTGCTTAATTTCAGCTGCAATTCCTTAAAGACCACTGAGGCCAGACATTGTATAGTCTATATATATAGACTATATATATATACTATATGACTATATAGTCACCATACAAAATAGGCGGCCTCAAAGGACAACTTGGTGCTCTTCCATTCTCTTGTTTAACGAGATCAGAAACTGATGCTTAAACTAAAATGATTGCTGGGCTCCGTTTCCAAAATCTAGTTCATTCACATAGAAGAGCTTGGTTAAGTTCATATTCTGTTTGGACTTATCACGGAATTACT